AATTAACAGATTAGAGTTTAGTTTCGGGTATTCTTAGAATCAACGGAGTTAAGTTTGCTTGAAATTATCTTTTGTTCTTGTTCCGCTGCATCATTTCATCAATTTGGAAAATCAGTTTGCCAAATTGATGGCTGATCACAAGGCTAAAGTTTCGTCCATGTGCACAGATATTGCTAAGTTACAAGCTTCCGTGACGTTGCTCAACCACATCTCAACCGCAACTCTTGAACCATCCTCCACATCCGCTATTCTCTCAAATTCGTCCACACCGTCTCTACAAGCTAGTCTCCTTCCCAATCCATCTAGGGATTCCAAGTTCCAAGGCCACTTGGGCCTTCCATCCTTTTCTGAGGGGACATCTATGGTTCGATCCGAACCAATTTTTTCCGCAGGATCTGTGTCTAAACCACATTATACCCAACATACAATGGGTTCTTCTCTAGTGGACGCCACTATCCCTCCCCCGCCACCTCGACCCAAAGAACAAAACATCATCCACAGAAACTTGGGTTTTGAGATTGCTCGTCATGCTAAGCCTACTGCTCCCGACTTCGATGGTCGCGGGGATCCTACTCTTTTGTTGATTGGATATCGGTTATGGAAGATTATTTTGAATGGTGTGATATGTCTGATGCACAACGGATTCAGTTCGCCAAACTCAAACTGGTAGGAGCTGCAAAGTAATGCTGGAAGGCTACCGAGCACCATCTTTAACAACTCGGACAAATCCCTGTGATTTTATGGGATGAGATGAAATTGAAACTCTGAGAACAATACCTTCCATCTTTTTATCGTCACCAATTGTTAGATCAATTATGGACTCTTTCCCAGGGTACTTCAACAGTCCAAGACTATTATTCCCACTTTGTGGAGCACAAATTGCGTTCTGCCGTGCAGGAAGAGCTTGTAGTTATAGTTTCTCGTTTTATTCATGGCCTTAGGGATGATCTCAAACACGAGGTAAGTAGGTCATGTCCGGATGTGTTGGAGGACGCCTATTACCAAGCCTTGGGAGCTGAGACATATTTGTCACCACAACATTCAGGATATTCTGGTCAACTTGCAACTGCCAACCAAACTCTTCCCACTATAGATATGCAGACGGGGTTTTTAGGACCATCTAACCCACCTGCACCACCACCTAACAAAGGACCGGCTGTTTCTACTAATGCTCGCATCGAATGTTTCCATTGCCATGCCAAAGGACACATTGCTTCTCGTTGTCCGCAACGAACTTTAACTATCAACACTCCCACTAGTGAGCTTTGTGAGATTGTGGAGCCTCTCGAAGGTGTCTATGATCCAAACATTGATGATTGCTGACCCTCGTCCCCTATTATTCATACTTGTAGTTGGCGTTGTCGTCATTAATTTACCTTTTGTGGTTGTTTACTCGTCGGAGTTGAGTTCTTTCGCCGGGAGAGAATGATGCAGGATTTCTACTTTTCCAGATTTCCTGATTTCTAGTTTTAAGTTTCCTATTTTATTTGGGTTAGAATTTCTGTTTAAGAAAGGGATTTTTATCCTGTTATGTCTAGGTTTTAGTTTGCTCTAAATACCCCATGTAGTTCTTTAAAATTCAGATTTGAATGTGGAGTAAATCTTTTCCTAGAACTCTCTGATTTCGTCCCTTCGGTCTATATTTCTTCTCCTCGATCTTGATATTCTTCTTTGTTCTACTATTTCTGTCCTTTATCTTGTCTTTTCGATCTCTATTTCTTCTCCTCGGTCTCTTATATTCTTCTATGTTCTATTGTTTGAGTGCTTAATCTAATACCTATGGGCTGTACTACATCAACCTGTTAACATCTTCATTCCATCAAAATAATCCTAAAACTAAACTTGCTCCTAACCAAGGTCTAAAATATTGATGGTATCAGAAATATCGGTTGTTCAAAAACACGGAAATTTCTATGGAAATATCGGGATATTATCGATATCGATAAAAATTGAATAAAAACCATGGAAATTGTAAGAAAAACTTGGAAATTTTTATTGAAACTTTGGAGGATGTTTATTTAGTCAATTATCTATTAGTTTATCACAAAAAATTAGAAGGTAATGCATTGCATGATGGGTTTAACTGATTTAAGTTGATTATATAGAGAGCTGACAAACACTGTGAGTGTAGAAAATATGTAGTAAGTAAGGAAAGAAGATTAAATGCACCATAATCATTTATATATAATGATTTACTGCAATATTTACACTTTATACATTGCATGGTAAGATACATGAGTGACTTAGTACCACATAGAGTTCTTTTGAGGTTCAAATTTTTCACTTTCTTCATCATTTTTATGTGTAGAGTAAGTGTATTATGAAGAGTAGTCATTAAATGATAAATCCCCAAAATAGTTTTGCATGTAATTGTTAACATGCCTCCCGTATGGATCTGAGATTGGTTGACATTGTCCATAAAAAAAATCATTTGAAGATTGGGTCTCGGATTCTTTCCATGAGCCGCTCGATTCTATCTCAAAAGGAAAGGTCAAAGACTCAATTCTCATGTGAAAATCTAATTCTTGAAAGGAAACAAAACAATATAAATGTATATATTTTAGCATATTATCACAAAAACATAAGTAACATGGTGGTTAAGGCGTTGGATGAGTGAAATGCTAGGGGTTTGAATCCCCTTTGCATGTGTGCTTTGTGTTTTTTTTTCCCTTTCTTTTTCATTGCATCGATATTTTCAATATTTTCGATATTATAGCGATATTGAAGCGATATTTTGAAAAAATATTGCTGAAGTGTGAACGAAATTATCGACATCGATATTTTCCGATATTATCGATATTTATACGATATGTGTATGGATACATTCCGAAATATCCCTGACTCGAAAAAAACGATAATATCCTCGATATTTCGTCGATGTTATCGATATTTTAGACTATGCTCCTAACAAACATAAACATTTTCATCAAAGTTCATCCAAATTTCTAGCAACGAACTTCAACATACAATCCCATATTTTCATACAAACACAAACAAATTTCAATACCCAATTGATTAATACAATTGGAAATTACATACCAACTAGTCAACTACAACATTCATTATGATTTTATCAAATTAATGAAAGAACAAAAAGCCAAACAAACACATCACTTCTTATTCTTCTGCAAGGCATTTATGAGAGAGCCATTAACCACATACTCTGTCACTGTTGGCACAGAACCTCCCGGCCCATCAAGCACAACACCATAGAAGCTACCACATTGAGGTGGTGCAAATCAGAAAGTTTAATGGCCTTGTTCCAGAAATCATCTCTTTGATTATAATACGAAATCTACAAGATAGGGACCATGCAAGTGAGGTATTAATAATAAAAAATTAATAGCTTTTGGAAACTAGTGCAATGAAAAGATAGATCATTTATTCTTCCATAAACCAATTCTCTTAGCTCTTCCCACACCTTGACAGACCCAATCCCATATTTTCATAAATACAAATAATTGATTAATACAAATCAAATTAGAAATTTCAAAACCCAATTGATTAATTGACATCTTACAAAGCAGAGTAAGACAACAAAATAAAAACAAAAACTGGGTATGATTCAAGAATTGAAACAAACCTTAGTTCTAAGAGGGTGGGATTGAAGTGGTATGAGCTATTTTCTCCAAGCCCCATTGAGTATCTCAGACATGGTTTTGCAGTTGCGAATTAAGAGGAAGATACAAGAGGCACAACTAGGTTTTCGAAGAAGGAAGAGATGAGGTCAACAACATGGAGGTATTGAGGCTTATAATGAGATCTGGCGGCTGCTTCGCATGGGGTTTATTTTCAGATGAGGTTTGAGTTTTAGTTATAGAGAAGAGAAGAGAGAGGCTTCGACTGTGAGTGTAGAGGAGGGTTTTCTTGGTTTTGTTTTGTTTTGGGGTCCAATTAGGTGTGAAAGGGTATATAATATGCCATTCTACTAACCAATTGTTGTTTGACACATGTACATTAAATAAAATTAATATTAAATAGAGTTATATCGGTTCGGTTTGGTTTAGGATAGTTTCAAAAACGTTCAAACCGCAGCCGAACCAAACCTACCCGGTTCGGCCGATGTAATCGAATCGACCGGATTGATGCCCACCCCTAGTATAAATACGAGCAGATCCTCATGGTTTCTATGAAAAGCCCATTGCCTATGTGGGCCTCATGCTCAATTGTCATGACAATGACTATTCGATGCTTAACCCCCATTGTTCGATTCACTTGCCATCAATATAAAAAGGAAATTAATTATCTAGTGATTTTGGAGAATTTAAAATTCCAAATCACATATCTTCCAAAACACTTTTGTTTGTACCATAGCTGATCCTACCACTCACCTCATGAAACATGGAAATAGTACAGAGTGAGGAAACATTCTGGCTCACCGATAGACCAGATAAGGTACGAATCGATAGGCGACCGATTCATCACAAGCCATAGTCGTCACCCGCTAATTTGCTCGCGCTCCTGGAAGCTCCTGGGACATAACAATCGATACGCCATGCCAATTATACAAGAGGATCTCGAAAAGTCCCCCTTGATATTTTGCGAACTCGTGTCGACCTCGGAGGGCACTCCCACAAGTCCCACATCGAAACTAAGTACTAAGAGTATTCGAAATGCTCTCTATAAATAGGACCCCTTGCCCTAGACAAGAGGTAAGATCTCTTAGCTTGATTTACGCTATAAATACTTGCTACAACAGAGAATTCTCTCCCAAACTTACTTTGCCAACGGATGGTCTTGGGCTGGTACCACACCGGTACTCTCGACCTCATCCATTATTTCTTCTCTTAGCCCAGAACAAAGCATCACATCTCGAAGTGTTGTATGCTTGCATTAAGGGTTTACTAGGCCGAAGCATCACATCACCTGTAGGTTGCATCTAACTCTATCTGTTTAGTTTTAGGGCAAACAGATTGGCGCTGTCTATGGGAAGCGACTGGCAATCAACCCATATCTCCCTTTCTCGAAACCTATGAATCCACCTTCATCCCTTGCGACCGATGGTCTTATCCTCGGCCTTACCAGTGGACCAAGCACCGCTCCCCTACTCGGCACCCCCCAAAACGGAAACGCCCGTTCGGCAGAACACCCTGGAGGTTAGGATGGAAGCCTTACAACAGGAAATGACAAAAATGCAAGAACGCAACAATATTCTTTCCTCCAAGCTCGACGAGACTCAAAGACAGCTGTTTGAACAACAATCATAGTCGACCCAATTACAGGACGGTTTGAAGCAGACCTTGCAGCTTCGGCAGGAGCAGTCCTTCAGAAGCGTACCAAAACCTAGCGAACGTGAGAAGGAAAGAAGCCAGCAACAGGCATGCCATCCACTTCCCGAAGGCTGTTCGTACTCTCTCCGGAGGAACGCCATCAGGAATACCAAGTTTACTCCGATGTCAGGATAGACTTAATGATCGCCACAAGGAACTCCGGGCATCCCCAGTCCCGATCCAAACGAAACTCGACGGTCGGCATGTGGATGCACTTGGACCGAAATCTCCCCTACGCCGAAGGTACGATGCGATTGGTTCAGAAGAAATGGACGAATCAGACTATGTTCCGATTTCACCCAGAACCACAAACTCATACCATTCGGCAGGGTCATGACCTTCTAGACAAGAGTAGCCTAGCTCCCGGTCTGATAGAGAGGATGATCGGCAGAAGAGAGGCCTTGGCAAAACCTCTGACCGAACCACAGGTCGAGAAATGCAAAGACATAGTGCCCGCCAACCAATTGGTCCCCAGACATCAGAACCCTTCTGCGACGACCTCCCCCCTGCCGATCCTACTATCCGCCTCCTCCTCTAGAAGGTCAACCGGATTAAGGAAGAATAGAACCAAAATCGGACACCAACTCGAGGAAAGGTACAACTGGGACTGTTCACTAGCTGAATCTGAATCTTCCAACATGACAAAGAAGTCCAAGCACTCCGAATATCATTTTACACAAGAGTGGAAGATCTTGTGACCCACATCCATACTTTCCAATCAACTATGGGTTGCAAAGGGCTCACCGATGAAGGCCAGTGCTTACTATTCCCCTCCACCTTAGCTGGAGCCGCCCTAAATTGGTTATATGGACTGGAGCCAGGTATATTAGACTCTTTCGATCAATTGAAACAAACTTTCCTCAATAATTTTATGATATAGACCGAGTGGTTAGAGAATGCCAAAAATCTCTTCCGCCTTAAAAATCTTGCCGGAAATCGCCTCTCACAAGCTCTGTTTTGGTCCTTTTATACCATCGGGAAACGAAAAGATGCAACTCTTCACAGCCCTCCCGAGATGTGTCACACATGCACAGGGAAGCCTAAGAGTCATAGCATCCCACTTCAGCGAGCGGTTCAAATTCTCAGACTTTTTAGAGCGCAACTTCACCAACATACGACAGGTGCACATTGGTTGAGTTCTCACTCCCCTCTCATGCCGAACGGCAAGCGCACATTGGTTGGGTTCTCACTCACCTCTCGTGCCGAACGACAAGTGCACATTGGTTGGGTTCTCACTCACCTCTCGTGCCGAATGGAAGCACACATTGGTTGAGTTCTCACTCACCATTCGGCGCACATTGGTTGAGTTCTCACTCACCTTTTGTGCCGAATGGCAGGCGCGAGCCTTCACTACCTCTCACGCCTTCGACCCATGATGCCGTTTAAATCCAATTCTCCAGAACCCCTCTTGCTCGGAGACTTGGGGGACTCCATGACTACCATCGGCAGAGTACACGAGGACGCTCATGTCCGAGTCAGAATGCCGAAAATCGAAGACAAGTCCCCAACCAAGAAGTCCCTTCTCAATCGGAAACTTGGGGGACTCCTGTTTGTACCATAGCTGACCCTACCACTCACCTCATGACACGTGGAAAGAGTACAGAGTGAGAAAACATTTCGGCTCACTGACAAACCAGATAAGGTACAAATCGGCATAGGCGACTAATTCATCACAAGGCATAGTTGTCACTCTCTAATCGGCTTGCTCTCCCGAAAGCTCCTGGGACGTAACAATTGGTACGCCATGCCGATTATACGAGAGGATCTCAAAAAGTCCCCCTTGATATTTTACGGACTCGTGTCGACCTAAAAGGGCACTCCCACGAGTCCCACATCGAATCTAAGTACTAAGAGCATCCCAAATGCTCTCAATAAATAGGACCCCTTGCCCTAGACAAGAGGTAAGATCTCTCAGCTTGATTTACGCTATAAATACTTGCTACAATAGAGAATTCTCTCCCAAACTTACTTTGCCATTGGAGGGTCTTGGGCTGGTACCATACTGGTACTCTCAACCTCATCCATTATTTCTTCTCTTAGCCCAGAACAAAGCATCACATCTCGAAGTGCTGTATGGTCGCATCAAGGGTTCACTAGGCCGAAGCATCACATCACCTGTAAGTTGCATCTAATTCTATCTGTTTAGTTTTAGGGCAAACAACTTTTATTTTGGAAGCCAAGCTAGAATAAAATAACAAATACGGTGTACAAGGCAACCTTATGATAATTGGATTTGGGACAATAATAACAGTTACTTTATAAAAATATGTAATTTGAAAATTAAAATCATATATTGTTTTCACTTTCCTTTAATGTGTGACACCATTTTTTAAATTATGGAAAAAAAATTGAAATCTCACATTTAGTTATATTTCCATACACCTCCTTTTCCTGTGTGCAAAATTTTTATGGAAGATTGTATTTTCTACCAAAAACAAAATCAGACCCTCTCTTCCCTATAAATCTAGAGCATTTCTCCATTCTCAGACCATGTGCATTTGATGTCTTCTCTCCTTTGTTTTGCCTTGTTGCCTCCATTCTTCCTGTTTAGTCGTTATAACTCTCTCTTTTTTCCTTTTCTTTTTCATTTTTTGTTTGTTTGTTAATAATGGAGGATTAGGCGAGGTTAGCTCCTCAATGATGTTATAACTCTCTCTCTATCTTTTTCTCTTCATTAAAATATCTAGGAGTACTTCACAGATAAGCATTTCATCGGTACTCTCCACCTCCATACAAGAAAAGGTGCCACTTGTGGCAAGTGAAAATAATCATTCACATAATTTATATAGAGATGTTGCCAATTTCTCATAGGTTTTTTTAGTGACTTACTGGTCTGATTGGTACATAAGAAAATTTTCTCTCTCAAAGATTTGTGGTCCGAAACATCAAATCTTTCTCTCATAGGTTGTTCTGGTGGCTTAGGGCCTTGACCAGTCACTCTCTAATAATCGTTTTGCACAAGTTCAAGCAAAGACAAAAAGAGTGCCGACGGCAATGATTGGAGATATTTTGGTATCATTTGAACTTTGCCAATATTTTTCTAAGGATGCAGATGTTGAGATGGTAAGTTTTTCTCTTTTTTATTTTTATTTTTATTTATTTTAATATTTAAAATAAATATTCTTGATAGAGATAAAGATAAAGGAAATATATGAAAATGTCAGCGATGAAGGACGGTAGGGGAACGTAGGAGGGAGGTGGAAGGATGTGTATGTCATTGTAGAAAATGAAGACTAAAAACTAACAATAACTTTAAGTTATTTTTCATTTTCTAGCTTTAAATTTGTTTCATTTTCATTCTTTCACTATGCAATCTTGGTTTATCTATGCCTAGGCTGAGACGAGGAGAATCACAAGATCAGCACCATCGAATAGAAAATGGAATAAGTCTTCATATATCATTGAATGTAGCAATGATATTTCAGAGGTGAATTGATGACATGAGCATTCTTAATTAATCAAGGAGATTTATTTCCTTAATTAGTTAAGGGATTTACTTTCTTATTTTATATAGTTGACATATCATTGTACAATTAAGAGATATAATCCTAATTGATTACTATATCTATTTTCTTGTAAAGCACCCATGTAAATTGTCACGATCCGATTCGAAAATAAGGAATATTCTCAAATCATGATGTGAGTCATACCATAGTCATAAGAATAAAATCCTACAACCATGATATGATGAGAAATAAATACACAAACAATACAAATTTAACACCCCGACCCAATTTTAATTATACAAATTTATAAATAAACCCAATTCTAGACATGTATTTATAAAAAAACCCAAGCACTATTTAAACATAGAAACACACCCAAAATCAACCTCAAAATCAACAATTGTATATTTTTTGGGTGTGTTTATAAATGAGTTTTGAGTGTGTGTAATGATGAGTTTTGGGTGTGTTTATAAAGTGTTTTGGGTGTTGGGTTTTTTTATAATTTCAACCCCCATTTTGGGTGTTTTAGTGAAACTCCCTTTTAATTATTCATTTAAATTATTTAATTATGAAATTACAATTTTTCCCTTGGGATAGGATCATTTTGGTCACTTTTGGTAGTATTTTGGGGAATTGAATGGCACTGTTACATAGAGCGCGTCGATACGAGTTCGTAGACACGTAGTGGGCTCAAATCGGAGTTTTAACGAAGAAGTTATGGCCAATGGAAGTGCAGTGCTTCTGACGACGATTCCGGAGTCATTTGGTAGTCTCCGACCACGAAACTTGTTCCAATTTTTTCATCTCTCTCTCCTCTTTACATCTATTCCAATTTTCAACCTCAATTCCAAGGGATTAAGCCAAAAATTGGAATGAAAACCCAGCTCAAACCGGCTTGTAAAAAATCGTGACTTTCAGCATTTGTTCTGGCCAACTCCAGCCACCAAGTAGGTTCCAAAACACTCCCATGCCTCCCCTATGTAATTTCCCTCGAAGACCTGACTTGATTTCAAAACCATCAGAAAACCATGCATCTCTTGGATTGCACCTCTTAATCAAAAGGTATCACTTCAATGAGGACACATCTCTTCGTGTAAGAGTGTGTCTCTATGTTTAAATCATGTATATGAATTGTTTCTAACGTTCATATATGTAATTCAAACACTTAGTCATCAAGCACCACATCTAAGCACTCAAAAGGTGCTTTGAAACTGCACCCTAACAAAATCATGTGACAAGTCCCAATTTGGTAGTATGTTTCGCGAGAGCCACTTCAGGCTTCGAAGCCTCTTCCTAAAACCAACTGGTTGTTTCCTTAAAGCGACCGGTCACTTTTTTCCAGATTCTTATTTTTCTTAAAATCTTCAACATGGCCAATGTCTCAGATAGGGGGACTTTTCGAACTCGTGAGTGCCCAAAAGTTTTCGAACTCGAAGTTACCGAACGGTACTCTTCATGCTGAAGGAGAGGGGCGAATATCAAGACCATTATCTTGTATTTTGACTCTTAGATGAGAAAATGAGAGCTATCAAAGAGCAAGAGAGAAAACTTAGGGAAGAAGAAGAGCTAGCTAGATACTAACTCAGCTCCAAACAATTCATACGTATATTGCCTTCTGACAAAACCGTTAGGAATAGCATATTCCTCTTACATCATTCAAATCTTAGCCATTCATTCACTACCCTATGAGATAGAGACACGTGGCATACACTATTACATCCTAGCTACACAGTTGGACTGTTATCCAACGGCTACATTTTCAAACTTAGAATAATAAATCTATCTTAGCAGCTGCACTTATAAACTAACACTCCCTTCTAAGTGTTGTGCTGAGATAACACCTAAAGCCTTTCTTAGATACTCATACCGATCCCTTGCTAGTGGCTTGGTGAATATATTAGCAACCTGTTCTTCAGTTTTGCAATAAAGCAAATTGATCTCACCATTCTGAAGAGCATCTCGAATGAAGTGAAACCTGCGATTGATGTGTCTGGTTTTGTGGTGATGAACCGGATTCTTTGATATAGCAATAGCCGAAGTGTTGTCACACAACAACTGAGTTGGTTCTACCTGTTCTTCACCAAAATTCAATAGCACAAATTTGAGCCAAATAGCTTGAGTAGTTGCTTCTGCTGCGCTCATGTATTCTGCCTCTGCAGTGGAGAGAGCCACATTGCTCTGCTTAATTGAGGCCCAAGAAAACACTCCTGACCCCAAGTTAAATGCATAGCCTGATGTGCTTTGCATATCATCTTCACTACCACTCCAATCGCTGTCACAATAGCCAATTAACATAGCTCCTTTTCCTTTCTCATAAGCAATGCCATAGCTTATAGTACCTTGTATATATCTTAGCACCCTTTTTGCTGTTCCCATGTGCTTCTTGGTAGGATTGTGCATGAATCTGGCCAAAAGACTAGCTGCAAACATAATGTCCGGTCTTGTTGCAGTTAGATAGAGCAAGCTTCCTACCATTTGTCTATACAAAGTCTCATATGCTAAATCACTCCCATCCATTTTAGACAACTTTTCATTCACTGCCAATGGTGTTGCAACTGATTTGCAGTCCTTGAGTCCAAACTTGTCCAGCAAAGTCTTTGCATATTTCTTCTGATGCAAGAAAATGCAAGTGTCAGTTTGTAAAACCCCAAGGCCGAGAAAGTGATGAAGCAATCCAAGATCCGTCATCTCATATTGTCTCATCATCTCATTCTTAAATTCAAGCATCATCTCCTTTGAGCTCCCTGTATAGATAATATCATCTACATAGAATGACACAATAAGAATACCACTTGCAGACCTCTTAGTGTATAAAGTAGCTTCACTCAAGCTCCTATGAAAACCAGCTCTAGTAAAATAGGAATTTATCTCTTTGTACCAAGCTCTTGGAGCTTGCTTCAAACCATACAAAGCCTTCTTAAGCCTATACACCTTATCTTCACTTCCTTGTATCACAAAGCCGGATGGTTGATCCACATACACCTCTTCATTTAGTACTCCATTGAGAAAAGTGGATTTCACATCTAATTGGAAAAGCTTCCAATTCTTCTGTTCAGCCAATGCTACCAAAGCTCTCACAGTGTTAAGCCGAGCCACTGGTGCAAAGGTCTCATTG